TTCTACTAGTAACTTCAGAAACTTTCATTAACTAGTCTTTGGTTTCAAATGGATTTATTCCCAGCTTAAGAAGCTGCTTATTAAAAAAAAAAAAAAAAAAAAAAAAAGAACTGTTTGTTCATTTGATTGGAAGGGGAAGTTGTTATAACTTGGTGTCAGCTTCAAACTATCTACATTTAGAACAGAGATGATCTTTTCTTTTTATTGTGGTACAGGGAGAGGCAATACTCTAGGCACTCTACCACGGATCTACTTCCCAGTTCTTTTTTTTTTTTGGTGTGTGTGTGTGTGTGTGTGTGTGGTGCTAGGGATTGAACCCATGCCTTTGTGCATGCGATGCTGGCACTGTACCAACTGAGCTAAATCCCAAGCCCCTTTCCCAGTTCTTTTTTCTTTTTTATTTTGAGATAGGATCTCACTAAATTGCCTAGGCTGGCCTCAAACTTGCTATCCTTTTGCCTCAGCTTCCCCAGTAGGTGAAAATAAAGGTGTGCAAGATTGCCCCTGGCTATCACAGAGCCAATTCTAACTATTTATTTGTGCATTTGAACCCTAGCCTTGCTCTTTGGAATCACTAGTAGTTTTCTCTCTTGGCTACAAATGCATTACTTAATTAATTAAACAAATATTTATTAAGCATATGTGCATACTAAGCATTGTTCTAGTCTTTGAGAACACAGCAGGGAACAAAACTGACAAATAGCTATTGCCCAGAAGTTTGCATTTTAGAGAACTGTATCAGTCAGCTATTGCTGCAACAGTGCTATACAATAAACACCCCTGATGTTCTTGGTGATTTACAATAGTAGGCACTTATTTTTTCTCACATTTCTGCAGATTGGACGAAGTTTGATCTTGGCAGGCCTTGCCTATGTTTACTCGAGAGAGGCTGGACTCCAGGCTTTGGGTCAAGTCTACTTCCCATGTCTTCACTATTCTGGGACAAACTGCCTGCCTGAGACATATTCTTCCCATGGTGGATGTCAGAAGCACAAGAGAGGTGAGTAAGCCCTCTCTTGTTAAGGCCTCAACTCAGGATCCTTATGGTCACTTCTTCTTACATTCCATTTGCCAAAGCTTGCCATACTATACCCAGCAGACAAGTATATACACCAACTCTAGCACGAGGCTTTGCAGAGTCACATGGTGAAGGACCTGGATGTATAATTTTAATATTGAGATGGAGGTAGTAATCAATAGACTACAAAGATCCAATATACCATAAAGAAGTGTAGAAGATAGAAAAGTAAGTTAATATATATCAAATATATAAAGCAAGTCAAGAGCATAGAGAATGAAGAAATGGAGCAAACTTTTAGATAGGGTGGTCAGGGAAGACTTTTATGAAAATATGACATTTGAGCAAAGTCTGAGAAAAGTGAGGAAGCAAGATTAGTAGATTTCTGGGGTAAGAAGATTATAGGAAGAGACAGAAGTGAATGAAGAGGCTCCAAGATAATATTATTTGAAGGGATCAAGGAATTGCAAGGATGCCTAGTGGTGGAAACAGAATGAGCAAGAAGGAAAACAGTAGGAACTGAAACCTACTCTTTTGTTGATAGATGTTTGTTTCTATTTTTTCACTGTAACATATGCTATACATATGCTATACTTATCTATGCCTCTTTTGGTGTATGATAGAAATATCTAGAGATATAATTATTAATATAATATCTATAGTTAATTAATATAATACCTACAGTTGTAATTAATATAATATCTACAGTTGTAATTATTAAGGCATAGGATATATGTGTGTGTGTGTGTGTGTGTGTGTGTATATTCCAGTTTACTAATTATTAGCAAGTTATTTGTCAAAGTGCTTTTAAACCAGTTTACACACCTACCAGCAATATATAAAATTTTTTTTATAGTCAATGATGTCAGACTTTTTTATACAATAGCAATTATGATAAATTATATTAATATTTTACCACAGTGTGTATTATAACATTTTATTAATACTGTTCTATTTTGTATTTCCCTGATTATTAGTAAAGTTGAACATCTTTCTCATATTATTGGCCACTTGAGTTTCCTTTTTTTTTTTTCCCATGCTAGGGCTTAAACCCAGGGTCTCTTTTTTTCTTTTGCAAGTGTTTTCTCCCACAGAGGTACACCCTCAGCCCACCTATGGGTTTTCTTTTTTTCATCTATGTGTTTTGATGGTAGTAATTCTTTCATTGTTGTTTAGTTCTAAATCCTTTTTTACGACCATTTGTCCAATTTCAAAAATATAGGGTTCTTTTTTAAAAAAATTATTCTTAATTATAATTTAATATTGTTATGGTCAGGATACAATAATGATTGTCAGCCTTTTTAAAAATATTTATTTTTTAGTTGTAGTTGGACACAATACCTTTATTTTGTTTATTTGTTTTTATGTGGTGCTGAGGATTGAACCCAGGGCCTCTCACGTGCTAGGCGAGTGTTCTACCGAGTCACAACCCCAGCCCTGATTGACATCCTTTAATATTTCTTGAAACTTTATTCCATATACACTATTTGGTTAATTTTTGTTAGTGTTCTAGTAATATCTGAAAATAAACTATTTTCTCTCTCTTTTTGAGTATGTTATCTAGATTGTATCTTATCTTCTAAACCTTTTATTACATGCCTATTTCTTTATTTCCATGATTTCTAATTGGTCCCTTCCACTTAAACTTATTCTTGTCCTATTTCTACCTATTTTTCATGTACTCTTTTTTTTTGGGGGGGGGGGCGGGGGTACCAGAGATTAAACTCAGGGATACTCAACCACTGAGCCACATCCCTAGCCCTATTTTGTATTTTATTTAGAGACGGGGTCTCACTGAGTTGCTTAGCGCCTTGCCTTTGCTGAGGCTGGCTTTGAACTCACGATCCTCCTGCTTCAGCCTCCCTAGCTGCTGGTATTATAGGTGTGCACCACTGCATCTGGCGTCATGTAGTCTTTTTTTTAAAAATAATCTTTGATTATCATATACCTGTTGGTGCATTCTAAGAATACTTAAAGTCTTTATTTAGCTTACAGTCTTCCCAAATTACTTTAATCATAAATTAATATTCTGAATTGTTGGCTGTTAAGATTTTTTCTAAACTTTTTTTTTTTACGTTTGGAATTCCTGTTTGTACACACAAACATTTTTTGTTTTTCTTTCTTCTTTTATGCACATTCTACTTACATTGATCAAAGGCTACAATCTAGAGTCAGATTTTATACTGTGGTGTTTTAGATTTCCTCTTCTGTTATGCTGTCAAGGAATATCACAGAACCAATTAATAAACCATTGAGCCGCTTGGTTTAGCAAAGTTGTACTTGTGTCCTTCTGGCTCTTTAGGTCCACTGTTCCAAATAAATTATAATCCAAATCAGTGCTTAGCAGCAGCCTGCTCAACCTCTTTACTAGAGTTCCTCCTTTTTTTAATTAGAACTGTGAACCTGGCTCTAATTTGTCTTAAGAGCACTTTTGGTCCCTTTCACCCCCTGTTCATCTCTGCTTATTTTTGGACTTAGAGCCAATTAGGTCAAGGGCTTGGCAAAACCCATAGTTTAGTGCTTTTTTTTTTTTCCTGGTGCATGGAAATGTTCACCTGTTTTGACTGGATTCTGTCTCTCTCCCCCTTCGTCCATTATGAAATGTATTTGGAGCAAAGGGAGTGTATTAAAGGGCAATTTATTGAGCAACCTAAGTGGAAATCCACTTGGGCTTTTTTAGGAATTCTCTACAAGCAAAGAAAAGAGAGAAGGAAAATAGAAAATGCATTTAGTTTCTAAAGGAGCGATGAAAAGTCATCTCAGTTTATAACTCTATGCTAACAAAGCAGAAAAGTTAGTGAGAGGGCCCTGTTGTTCCTTTCTTAATGTCTAGCTTTTACTCTCACTCAGTCCCTGCATCCTTGTCCTTACCCATTTAAAACTTCTGTTCCCTCGGAAGTCATCAATGTTCAGCGTCCTGTAAATTTAGCCATGTAATTAAATTATTCAAATTAAATTATAAATAAGGATTGTGAACTTCGTGGATATTTTACTAGTCAATCTACAGGGTAGAGTTTGCATGTGATTGGTGATGAGAAAAGGTCTGCATGTCTACATGTCTCTTCTTACCACCAAAGGCTCAGGAACAGACTAAAGAATCTCTGAAGTAAAGAGGCATCAATAATTCTGCCAAGGGAGAATCAGTAGTTTTACATAATAGACTGTAAAGGTTTATAATGAAATATTACTCAGCCTTAAAAAATAATAAAATTATGGCAGTTGCAGGTAAATGTATGGAACTAGAGAATATCATGCTAAGTAAAATAAGCCAGTTCCCAAAAAACAAAAGCTGAATGTTTTCTCTGATAAGCAGATGCTGATCCATAGTTGGGTGGGGGGACAGGAAAGAATGAAGGAATTTTGGTTTGTGTAGAGGGGAGTGAGGGGAGGGATGGAGCTGTGGGGATGGGAAGGATGTCAGAATGAGAGAAATTATTACTATATATATATATATATATATATATATATATATATATATATATGATTACACTACTGGAATAACTCTGAACCATGGACAGCCAGAGGAATGAGAAGTTGTGCTCCATTTGTGCATAATATGTCAAATGCATTCTATTGTAAAACAAATTAACAAATAAAAATTAAAATAAATAAATAAATGAGCCATTCTGGTTCATGATATCACTGATGCCCAAAAAGATCTCTGGTCCATGGAGTGCGTCTATCTCTAGTTTCTTTCATTTGTGACCTTAAACATTGATTTCTCCTTTTCAAATTTTTCTTAAGTGAATTTTCATTACTTTATTTATGAATATCATTCATATTTTGGATTCAGTGCACACAAAACACATTTCATTAGCTTTAATGCTATCTCCTTCAATAATATGGACATGATATTAGGGAGGTTTCCTAGAATTTTCACAATCATTCCCAACTTAACTTCTCCCCTATTTTTCAGACATCATTACAGTCCTGCATTTCGTAGTGTTTTCTTTCTCTCACTTAGAGATTTCATGTTAGACCTTTACATTTCATCTTCAGCAGGCCATATTGTTGTTGTTGGACCAAACCCCAATCTTGACCTCTCCACTGGAGTAACAGTGACATTTAGACCAACGGGAACAGATTTGAAAGTTATATAATTGAGAAAAGAAAGGATCCCTAAGGGAAGAAAAAAATTTGAGGTGAAATTCAATAGACAGATGATCTTTTGCCTTTTAAAATTCTTACTCATTTTTTAATACCCAGGCCTCTCTCCTTTTATATATTTATTTTATTTTATTTTTTATGTGGTGCTAAGGATCAAACCCAGGGCCTCACACATGCTAGGTGAGTGCTCTACTGCTGAGCCCCAGCCCCAGCCCACAATAGTCCTCTTTTCAATGAACCCTTCTCTCCTCCCAGCAGGGTTACTTTATCTTCCTGTGCTCCCGTTGCATTATAGTATTTTTCAGACTTGTAAGAGCAAACCTTGAACCCCCTGGATTCAAATAATTGTTCTACTATTTTCTGTGTGATCTTGGGCAAATAATACTTCAAATGTTTTCTGTGTGATCTTATTCAACCTTTCTGTCTTGTTTTGTGAGAGAAGAGGTTATTAATTTCAGGTTTTCACACTTAAAAATCTATTCTCTCTGCACCATCCCACAATCCCTCTCCCTGTATAAATATTCTAAATAGGAATAGCTGGTGCTTCTATTTCTCTTAGATTCCACCTCCCTTTCTAGAATTGATTTCCTTCTAGCACAGAGCAGTGACTAACTCACCAGAACACATGTATAAGAAGTCACACCACCAGTTCATATGATAGGACCATAGGAAAGATGACTCCATGACATTCCTAGTATGCCAGTGAATCTGTGCCAGGAACATGTAGAGGCAGAGGAACAAGAAGATGGCTGCAACCAGAAAAACAAAAAAGAGGTCACAGCCCATCAGTATCTTGTAATCTACCTTGACTGCCATCCCTATCTATTCTTCTGCCTCCCTCCAGAGGCAAGGATCAAAAAATAAAATCTTGGGACTTGACCAAGATGAGAGAGAGAAAGGGGCCTCTACTTGGTCATAAGTCAGCTAAGGTGTATTCTATACAATAAGATAGGGCAGTAACTGGCGACTTCATATGTTATCAGGAGCAAAGGGACAAGAAAATGAGTATTAAAGTCCCACAGAGAAACTTTGTTACCTTGACTATTTTACCGTGGCATTACCTGCCAGTCTAGGTCTGTACCTGCGATGAAGCTGAGCATGGATACCTTCAGATCGAAGTTTCTGGTCACGTTTTCTTTTTCAGGAAGGCAAGAGTTGAGAAGTATGGTGAGGGTAACAAGTATGGTGAGAATAGAGATGATGTAGAAGATTCTGGAATACTGGAGATAATCTGCAAGAAGAAAAGGAAAGGAAAGGCTCCCCTAGCCCAGTGAGAGAAAAGCCTTAAGAAAGCCAAATAGAGGGCTGGGGTTGTGGCTCAGTGGTAGGGCACTTGCCTAGCATGTGGTGAGGCACTGGGTACGATTCTCAGCACCGCATATAAGTAAATAAATAAATTAATTAAAGGTCCATCAACAACTAAAAAAAAATTTTTAAAAATAAAGAAGAAGAAAGCCAGGGGCTGGGGCTGTAGCTCAGTGGTAGAGCACTTGCCTTGTATGTGTGAGGCACTGCATTCAATCCTCAGCACCACAAAAAAATAAATAAAGATATTGTGTCCATGTACAACTAAAAAAAAATTTTTTTAAAAGAAGAAAACCAGACAGAGTCTGAGAGAAGGGAGTAAAGACAAAGGAGACTGAAGAGGAGCTTGCAATGTATCATCTGGGGCACTAATAAGGATCTTCTTTCATAGTTCTTCATTGTTCCTTGAAATTTCTTTACTGTGAAGGTTAACAAAGCCTTCATTATTAAACTAAGTATAATAAACCAATATTTCTTAGCACATTTACTTAGATGTAAACTAGTTCATATGAAGTGTAACATCACAAAACTAATGAAAACTTCTAATTCTAATTCTAAAAGCAATGCATGTTCATCCAAGCATGGTGGCATATGCCTATAATCCCAGTGACTGAGGCAAGAGGATCCCAAGTTCAAGGCCAGTCTGAATCTCTTGGTGAGATGCTTTCTCAAAATAAAAACTATAAAGGAAGAAATAAATAAATAAAAGCTAAAAAGGGCTAGGGATGTAACTCAGAGGTAGAACATCCCTGAGTTCAATTCCAAGTGCTGCAAAAATAAATCAATAAATAAAATAGAAGTAATATGTGTTCAGTGTGAATATTGGAATGACAATAAAAGTTCAAAGAAGAAGGAAAAAATAAGCCACAATTATATTAATTTAAAGCAGTCCTTGTTAGCATTTTATTTCTTTTTGTTATTTTTCTTGTGGAGTTTTTTTGGGTTTTTCTAATATTTATTTTTTAGTTGTAGTTGGACACAATAACTTTATTTCAATTACTTATTTTTATGTGGTGCTGAGAATCGAACCCAGGGTCTTGCACGTGTGAGGCCAGCGCTCTACCACTGACCCACAACCCCAGCCCCATTGTGTGGGGTTTTTGTGGAAGATTGTAAGATAGGATTCCTTCCAGATACTGGTTGTAGGCATCATTTTGTAATGGCTGCAAAATAGCTTGTCATATTCACTGCAGTGCTTAATTATTTATCCATTGTTGGATTTGGAGTTTGAGTCTATTTGCTTTTTCTTTCCTGATGTATCTGGCATGCACAGGCCTTGTCAGCCTGTGACTACAAAATGAGATCATATTTACTTTAACTCCTATATTGTAATGGTTTTAAGCCCCAAATTATCAGATTGTAGGTCTTAAACACCCAAAAAAAAGTCTCTTATGTTTTTTTCTGAGGGTCCCCCCACATTCTTATCTGACATTTGTTCAGGAAGAGGTCTGCTAGAGTTCTTTTGCTCTGATGCCCTTATCCAAGTGTCACAGCATTTCTTTTACCCCCTTTTCTTGGCTCCAGGTCTCTGCACTAGCATTACAGATTAGATGTTGGTAAGTAGGGGGAGGGGATGCTAAACCTTACTTTTTACTACTACATTTCTAACATGGTTCTTTCCCTTTGAATTCCCCATCAATAGTTTACTGAAGGGCTGGGGTTGTGGCTCAGTGATAGAACGCTTGCTTCGCACGTGTGAGGCACTGAGTTCAATCCTCAGCACTGCATAAAAATAAATAAACAAAAAACTAAATTTATATATGTATATAAAAATTAGTTTTTCGGAAGATTTAAGAAATAGATAATTTACAACTGTAAGTAGATGTAGCTTTTCTGAGATACCACAGATCCTATAGTATCTTCAATATCCTTTAAAGGGTACCTCCCTATTTAGCTTCCTTTCTTATCTCACTGTAGCTCATCCCCACCACTGAAAGTTCTCTAAGCGCTTTTTTGCCTAAGAATCCAAGTTCAGCTTCCTTGTAACCCAAAAAGAAGAAATTATGTATCAAGTCAATTCCAGTCTAAGATCACTCATAAATTTTCTTTTATTCTCTAGATTATGCTACTTATAACTAATAATAGTTATTTTATTGAGAGAAACCATATCTCTATCCACAGAGGTAAGTTGTTCTGAAAACCCCAACAAGTTAACCAAATTAAAATAATTCAAGAGCAGCACATTTTCATTTAGAATCAGCACTATATGTAGCCAGTCGCAAACATCAGCCTAGATTGAGCACATAAAGCTCAGTGCAATAGGCTTCTTTTGTAATATTTAGCCTACAATTCCCCAGGGGTCCCAGCAAGCCTCTTCTATAGCCCTGGACTCTTGCTTATAGCCCCCTGACTGTAGCTAACCTGGACCAAGAAAGGGAACCTGATGCATGTGATTATTATGTATGGAAATTTAGACTTCCTCTTTTGCTTGCTTTAAGAAAATGTAAAGATAGACTAGGATATCACTTTGGGGGCACTTACTAATAGACAGGAAAAACTGAGCATAAATAAAGATAATGAGTAAAAAAAGTAACTTTAAAGAGACTGAGTAATTGGCTGACTTGATTTTCTTTGAGATCCCAGCCTGGAATCCCTTCAGGCCCAGCAAATTTCCTGCCATTGAGAATCTATGAGATTCTTCTGAATTTTTAAATAAATTCACTCTTTAGCTTATGCTAGTTCAAATGATTCTGATATTTACTTTTTTGGTGTGGTGCTAGGAATCAAACCTGGGGCCTCACACATGCCAATCAAGCACTGTGCCACTGAGCCACATCCCCACTGGATTCTAATATTCAAAACATGAAGGAGCATCGTGTAAGAGTATCTTTTCTCCAACTCTTGCCTAAGATAAAAAGTCCAGTTCCTCTCCCACCATGGAGGAAAGACTATAACTTCATATCTATATTAAAATCTTCTCTGTTTTCACTCCTCACCTCCTAAAAAAGTACATAAACAATATCCTCATGGCTTCACAGGAATGACTACAGACTGACAGCATAGAAGAGTCTAACCTTCTCAAAATAATGAAGTCTACCAGTAACTGTCATATATAACATTACACAACCAATCAAAACATTTAGCTTCCTAGTCTAAAATATCTGCATTTGGTTAATTTATCGTTTTTAAAATTCACATAAAACACACACACACACACACACACACACACACACACGACACGAAATATCCCAAAGCTGAAGTCAAGTCTCTATCTCCTGTAAGACCTAAACTGATTTCAGCATTTATATAGTAGTTTTTATAGCAACGTATCCATCAAAGTTTCAAAACTCTTAGGACACAAATTACAAAATATCCTGCTCATATGTTTCAATAAAAAGCCTTAGTCCAGAAAGAGGAGAGCCCTAGATTAAAGGAGCACCCACGTGTCACCCATATGGGTCACCAGTATCCAAACATTTCTGAAGTTTACACAGGAACACCTTATAATTGGCTAAAGAGTTCTTTCCAGGGAGTATTAACTCATTATCTGGGACAAGAAATAACCTGGGTTAAGGAGAGCTGGTACGCTGAGGATACCAACAGAAAGCATGACTCTAGTCACAACTTGGCTGAGCTCCATGCTGAACTGGAGAGGTGGAGGCCAAAAGATCTTGGAGGAAGAAAGATGAAAGGCTACAATGTGGCACACAGCTCTGAACTGTGGACACTGTGGCATTTAATTTCATGGCACTCACAGGGTGGCTTGGGTGTGTTGTCCCAGCACAGCTCATGGTTGCATAAGGTCCAGAGTCCTGCGTAGAATTCCATTCCACTCCTGGTCACCAGAAACTGCACCCAGTTCAGTGGGGATGTGGAGATCAGCATCAGGAGGCTAAAGCCACAGAGACTGCCACAGAACATTCGAATGTAGATCCGAGTCTGATTGATATATAGCTGCCGCTTCTGGGAGGAACTCAGTTGTTTGTCTATTGGGAGGGTGGGCTACAAGGATGAGGGAAATATTGCCTACCTGAAAAGATAACCCCTGGTCCCCAAGATCTCCTTCTCTTTTCTACCTTGAGTATTCCCATGTGGGTTTGATTTGTGGATATTTTCACTACCCTTTCTATAAAAAAACCAGAATTGCTTCTGCCTTGAGAATGCTCTCTCTAGCCCCTGAGTAAGTCTTCTTCCCTCTGATCTGTGATTAGGTGTCTCCTCACCTTTTGGTATTTCCGGTCCCCCTTCACTGTGGGGACATTAGGAATGTAGAAGGTCAAGGTTAACTGTTCCCTCCTGTCCATCTTGGCAGCTAGTTCATTTTCTAACTGCCACGGAATTTGTCTCAACACACCCTCACACGTGCTGGCAGAACTAACAGGGGATGGGACCCATGGTTCATATCCCATTCCTGTTCCATATTTTCCATCTGGTTGGACCAGGAAGAAATCGTAACATTTTATGATGGTCCCCCCCTTCCCTTCTCCAACTCATTTATTAAAGAAATCTGCAAATACATTGTCAGTTGCCATGTATCAGGCTTCATGTTAGGTTCTAGGACACAAAAAATAAAGAAGACACTCCCCTTGGAGCATATAAAGTGTAATTCAAATTTCTCCAGGACTCAGTTTCTTGGTGTTATAATTCAAGACTATAAATATAACAGTAGCCAGTAGCCTGGAGTTCAGGGTCTTGCCCCACTTCTAAGGGGAAGGCCCAGGTATGTGTCAATAGTAACATGAACCAGTCTATCAGTTCATTTTTTATGTGTGTGTGATATTTTTTTGGGGGGTGGGTGCAGGTTGGGTCCTGGAGATTGAACCCAGGGGCACTCTAGTACTAAGCTACATCACTAGCCCTTTTTAATTTTTATTTGGAGACATGGTCTCGCTAAGTTTCTAAGATTGGCCTTGAACTTATGATTCTCCTGCCTCAGCCTCCCGAGTTGCTGGGTTTATAGGCATGTGCCACTGCACCTAGTTTGTCAATCTGTTATGTGACATCTACCCGTTTCTCCCTTTCTTGCTCTGGTTCCCTCTTTTCAATGCCCTCTATTTTCTGTAAGGGTTCTCCACCACCGCCACTACCATTGCTGCCAGGGCCCTCTCTGACAATGCTGGGTTCCATAGCCCTGGATGCTGGCCAATTCGCTAAAAGCTACCACTCCTCAAGCTACTGCAGCTGTGCTGGTTCTACGTGGAAGTGAGGATGGTGGCCTTTCCCAACCACCCTGACCTGTTGAAACCTGTTCTTTATTTCAGCTGGTGGGAAGTACTGGCAGTACTTAGTACATGTTCATGCTTAACTCTCTGTCTCCCAGGATTTAGCTCAATGCCTAGAAGCATAGTATTTAAGGTTGAATGAGTGAGTAAAGAATATGTTTTATTTAGTTATGTATTTAATATTTATTTATTTATTTGATACTGGGGGAACCAGGGATGCTTTACCACTGAGCTACATCCCCAGCCCTTTTCATTTTTCATTTGGAGACAGGTTCTTGATAAGTTGCTTAAGGCCTCACTACATTGTCCAGTCTGGTCTTGAACTTGTGATCCTCTTGCCTCAGCTTTTCCATTTGCCAGGATTACAGGCGTGAGCCACTGTGCCTGGATATTTTTATACAAAGTACAGAGATTGATGCATAAGACAGAATGGTTAACAATATCAGAAGAAAATTAAGGAAGGTTCTCGGTAGAGAGATCTTAGCTGAATTTTAAAGGAATTTATAGGTATCCAGGTGGAGGGCATTTGAGGCAAAGAGAATAGCATGTCCTAATGCAGAAAATTATGAATGACATGAGATTCTCAAGACACTAGAAACAGGGTGATTTTTCTAGGTATGGAATAAAAGGTAAGAGTTGAGGGTTGCTGATATAGGCAGGGAATAGTTCACAGGGAGTCTTTTATGCCATGCTATGATGCTATGGTATGGAGTCACAGTGGTTGGAGTACTCTAGCCTACTGGCATGACTACAAGTCTCTTCCATGTGCAGCAAACTGGTTTGGACAGCGTAACTGTTTGATACACATGTATGGTTAGCTAGATACAGGATTTGAACAGGTTTGCATTTCAATCTTGGTTCCTATACCTACTTAGTTCCCATATTTTTTGATTCCTTCAAGAAATTTCCTTACCCTCACTGAACCTCAGTTTACTCATATCTAAAACTGAGGTAACAGTGATTCCTGCCTCAGATAATTATTATTATAAGTATTAGTACTATTTGTGCATGTATTTCTCTGGTGCTGGGGATCAAATCTGGGGCCTTGTGCATGATGGGCAAGGGCTTTACCACTGAGCTAAACGCCAAACCCCATTATTATTATTATCATCATCATCATCATTATTATTTTTGTGTGGTGCTGGGGATTGAACCCAGGGCTTTGTGCATGCAAGGCAAGCACTCTACCAACTGAGCCATACCCCCTCATTATTATTATTATTTTGAAATGAAGTCTTGCTATATAGATCAGGCTAGTCTCCAATTCATGGATTCAAGCAATCCTCCCACCTCATCTTCCCACATAGCTGGAGCCACAAGCAACAGCCACTGCATCAGCTTTTTATAGAATTATTATGAAGATTAAACAAACAAACAAAGCCAAGATGAGACTCCTGAAGGAGCAGGAAGGAAATCCACAGAGCTGGAGAAGATACTTAAATATGTGTATCTAGCAAAGTACTTAAAGCCAAAATATGTAAGGAATTTTTACAAATCTTTAGAACAGACAATCTGATTTAAAAATGAATAAAGAAGCCAAGTGAGGTGGTGCACACCTGTAATCCCAGAGGCTTGGGAAGATAAGGCAGGATATTGTTGAGTTCAAAGCCAGCCTCAGCGATTTAGGCAACTCAGTGAGATCCAGTCTCTAAATAAAATATAAAAAAGTGCTGGGGATGTGGCTGGGGTTGTGCCTCAGTGGTAGATTTTTAGTGCTTGCTTAGGATGTGTGAGACACCGGGTTTGATCCTCAGTAACACATATAAAAAATAAAATAAAGGTCCTTTGACAAGTAAAAAAATATTTTAAAAGGTCTGGGGATGTGGTTCAGTGGTTGAGTGCCCCTGAGTTTAATCCCCGGTACGAAAGAAAAAAAAAAAAGAACAAAGTACTTAATTGACATTTCATTAAAAAAGAGACCAAAATGGCCAACAAATATAATAAAAGGTGTTCAACCTGATTAGGGTAATGGAAATTAAAAGTATAATGAACTGTCACTAAACATCCACCAGAATGGCTCAAAGACATTGACAAGTATGTGAAACAATTGGAAATCTGATATACTTCTGTTGAACATGTAAATGTTATGCTCAAATTCGGGACCCCCAAAAGACCACCAGAGACCAAGATCGATGTAAACAGCAAAGAGGTGTTTATTGCGAGCTAGCTCGGTCCTCCTCGTGCACACATAGCAACTAGTGTCGCTGAGAAGCCCCGAGCCCAGGGTTTGCAGCAGTTTTATACATTCTTTGGAGAAGGCAGGGACCCCCACATATATCATAGCATCTCTTAGCAAATCATCACACACCGCAGGAAAATCAAATAAGAACTCTAAAACATGATTAGCACATTCACTGGCGGGAACAAGTTGGGTAGGGGTGATTGGTTAGTACAAGAGGGGGATTCATTTGAACTGATTGGTTTAAGCCAAGAGGGGTGTACGTGCTGAACTACATGGTTTCCCAACATGTTATCAACCACATAAACTACTGGGAGGGTCATCTGGCATCCCAGGTATTTCCCTGTCTCATGGTGATTGGTGGCTGCTAGGGGGTTGCTATGGATCCCCACCTAGCCTGACCCAGTCAAGGACACCTGGTGCAGCAGATCTCTCCTGTTATTTGTAGATAAACCACTTAGCAGGGTGGGAATGTGCCTAGGAGTGCTCTGTGGGTCTTTCCAAGGACAAAGGTGATGTCCCTTCCTTGGACAGGCTTTGCTCTGAGGTAGAGGCTGGTTTTTCAGTAAGTTGGTGTAACTAATTTTAAAAATTGCCTGAAAGTATCTACAGAAGCTGAAGAAGCACATTCCCTTTTCACTGTAGATAAATATACAACAGAGAAGCATTCTATGTGTCCACCAAAAGACATGTGTTAGTATCTTCATGACAGTACTTTTCCTAGTAGCTCCAAGATGGAAACTACTCAAATACTCATTAATAGAAGAATGGAAAATTGTAGTATATTCATATAATGAAATACTATACAACAGTGTGTAAAATCAATAATCTCATGAGCAAGATGGTGAATATTATAAACCTAATGCTATATAAAAGAAGCCAGATACAAAAGAGTCCATATAAATGATTTTATTCATATGAAGTTCAAAACAAGCAAAACCCATCTGTGTCATTAGAGGGCGGAAATACTGTTGGGACGAAAGTGCTTAGGGACTAGAAAAGGATGTGTAAGGGCTCCCCCACCCCAGTATGGGGGATTGAACTCAGGGCCTCATGTATATTAGGAAAATTCTTTGCCATTGAGTTACCTCCCCAGCAAGGGGCTCTTGAGGTGTTGGAATTGTTCTCTTTCTCTATTTGGGGACTGATTACTAGCCACACAACACACACACACACACACACACACACACACACACACACAAATGTATTATACTTAAGTGAAAAGTTAAAAGAATAATTTGAATATATGAATCAAGAATTTTAGCCAGGTGCAGTAGTACATGGCTAATCCAAGCTACTTGGGAGGCTGAGGCAGGAGAATAGCAAGTCAAAGCCAACCTGGACATCTTAGCAAGACCCCTTCCTATCTCAAAATAAAATAAAAAGGGCTGGGGATGTAGCTCAATGGTACAGTGTCCCTGTTTCAATCCCCAGTACTGGGGAAAAAAACACTTAAAAATGTTTGTCTTTTGTTTCAGTATTTTCATCCCTAGGAATCTATAAAATCATAACTAGTGATATTACAGATCATTTATATATCCTCCTCTTTACCTATCCTACCTCTCTTGGGTTCTGTCACATGTTAATAATGCCTTCCTTGCTCTCCTTTGTTTGCTCTCCTGTTATATCATCAATCATTCCTTTACTGTCAACATTTTGCTCTCATTTTAAATCTCTCTTGAAAGAACATTTAGACTTTGTTCTTTGCTCAATCCAAAAGTTGTTTTTTAAATGGGGACTTTTAACCTATTAACATATTGTGTGATAGTTTGGATATATTAGTCTTGTTTCTGTCATCTTGTTCTTTGTATTTTCAGTCATTTTCTTTATTTCAAGTCTTTTTCTTTATTTGGTACTTGGGATTGAACCCAGGAATGCTTTACCACTGAGCTGTATCTACAGC